TCATGAATGCGCAGATTTTCTGTGCTCTGGCGTACCTGTCTCACACACAAGTGTCAGTGTGTCTCTGGCCCAGAGGTTGAAGCAGACAGTCGCGCTGCGCTGCATGTTGTGTTCTGGTGCTCAGACTCGCGTGCTGCACAGCTAATGTGATAGCAGCCCTTTCACAGCCCTGATTCAGTGTGGCACTGAAGAGACTAATTACCTCATGTGACCAGACCTCACAAACAGCCCTGCAGCGACCGCCGCTGATACCCACCGCTCCAAAACATGCTGAGAACATACACTGGCAGTAGGGTTGGGTATCGTTTTTTTTTTTTACGATACCGGTGCCAAATCGATACTTTTAAAATAGTACCGTGCCTAAATGGATAATAATAATAATAAAAAAAAAATACCCACAATAGGATGGATTGGCCATTAGCGCTATTTAATGTCTGTTTTATTCATACTGGAAGCCAGAGGGCTCCCTTGCGCAGAAACCCCACATATGCATTACAAAAGTAATAACACTTATGACGCTCCAGGAAATCTCTTATATGGACAAAGGCATCACTATTGCTGTAACTGAGTAAAAAGAAGATAGAAAAGTTTTGATTGATGAAACATGAAGACAATAAACACTCGACTGTGACAATATGTGGTTTATTTGTGTTCTTCAGACCTTCTCTGGTATTTTCATCATAATTAAGTATATTTATAATCCATTGCTAATCAACATAGACTTTTTTACAGTACAGAACATATTTTCTGCCTCATTCTGGTGACAAGAAGCCATATCAGATCACAAAAGAAGCATTTGACTGATGTTGTGGAATAAAAATGTTATGTTCTCTTTTGTTGAAGGTCTCAGGTTTAGAAACACTTCCCATTGCAAGTCAGTCTGGAGGGATAAGGAGAGAGCAACTGACCGTGGCCACCACCTACAAAACCATTATTTTTGGTGGTTGTCTTGATGTTGGCTCTCCAATGAACCTGTTTTCACTATTCATTTGCACCAAAGCAGGTAAAACAGGTTCACAATCACTTCTGCTCCCTAACTGGACAGATTAATATCCCTAAAGTTTAACTAACAATCAAGATGCATGCAATCAAGAATACTGGGGTATGTTTTTCATACAATTGTCATAGTTGTCACATGAGTTAAAATCTGTGTAGCATAATCCATAAAAAAAACATATTTAGTTAAAATCTCTATTAAATGATCTCTTAAAACTATTATGTATACAAATAATGAGACCCTGAACTAGTTAATAAAAAAACAGAACGGTATAGACCAATAATAGGTTTGTAAACATTCAGGATGCGCGTGCATCATGGTTGCAGAAAACCCGGGAGAGATAGCCTTTACAGCTAGAGAATTTCACGGATACGGTACAAAATATTTAGGTTTAAAAAGATTATAAATTATATTGATTAGATGTCATTTTCAAAATGTTCTCCGCATATTACAAGAGCTTGTCACCCAGCGATAAGCACTGTTATTCAATGAAATTGACGTTAGAGCGTGGGATAGTCTTACAGATCCGAAACAGGGGTGACGGTTTATGTGGGCGGAGCCTATCTGGAGGCAGAAAATGAGGGTTTTCAAGTGGCAGTCTATGGAGCCATGGAATAAAAGATTAAAAAAAAGGTTAATTTGATTTTATATTTAAAAATTCTGACTTTATTCTCGCAATTCCGAGATTATATCTCACAATTCTAATAAGGAAAAACAACTCGTCATTCTCTCTTTTCCCCTCAGATTTGACAAACTCACTATTTTTGAGTTAAGTCGAGTTATAAAGTCCGAATTAGGAGATATAAACTTGCATTTGCGAGAAAAAAAGTCAGAATATTCTATAAAAATGATTTGCATTCCGATCTTGACATCAAAACGAACAAAAAAAGTTTTTCTTTTATTCCATGGATTTTACCCATTTACCTCCACTTGTTCCCAGTGTTTTTCTGCAACCCCTATGCGCACGCAGCTGCAAGTGACGTAACTGTAACGTCTACTCTGAATTGGTCTATAGAGGTGTATTATTTACTATAGCACAAAATAAGGCAAGAAAGACAAAGAATGAAACAAAAAGGATCACAAAAAATTTAAAATGAATACATGTTGATGGGAACAATGTTGTGAAGATCATGTTGTCGTCATTTTTTTGATTCTGTTCTGTTAACCACAAGCTCAACTAGTACTTTCCAATGAGAAACCATCAGACAGACTAAACTTAAACTGATCACTGACTGCAGAACACAGAAGGAAATATATACATATATTTTTCACAGAAATAAGGCACATGTGTTTTTACATACATAGATAGACATATAAAATATGTACATAAATATACAAACATCTCCTTGGGAATGTACATTTTAATGTCGTCATCAAAATGGTACAAGTGGTACTGGGTCATATCTTAAGGTTATTTAGAGGCGAATTTCTGCAAATTCAAAATTTTTGATTTTTTAAAAGTAATTAAATTTAATTTTTCTTTTGAAGTTAATCAATATAAAATATTTTAATCTATTGACAGTCCTAAACAATCATTGTGCCTCATTCATGAAACACGAGCAGAACAAATTTTTGTGTAAATCGTTCGTAAAGCCGTTCTGACGTAAACTTTCGAATTCATGAAAATGTTCGTATTTTCAAAATGTTAGTTGGTAGGAAAGAAATTTACACCTGCTCCCTACCACGTGTAAATGGTGTGTAAAACGGTCTTCTGTGTTCATTTTGGCAAACTGATGACACTGAATTTGATGCAGCCGTTTTAAGAAGAGAGCCTGACAGTTTTTCAGCTGGCTAAAAACGCTTTGGTGGACACACCTTATTGAATATTTATTGTTAGGCATATGACCTATTAGTGTTTTTTGCATTTATGCAATATACTGGAGCCAAATCTGAGAAAGTAGACCAGAATATTCCACTGCGTTCCTGGACACGCAATTTACGTAGCTGTAATTCATAGGCAGGGATTATGCTAATTGTGAATGAGCGTGCATGAGCGCCCTATTTACGAATGATTGGAATTCATTAAAGGGGTCATAGGATGATGCTAAAAAGAACATTATTTTGTGTATTTGGTGTAATGAAATGTGTTTATGCGGTTTAAAGTAAAAAAAAA